GTCAAGCAACAACCAACCTAATTTCTAACAAGATATCAACTTAGCATGCATCACATAACTCATCATTATACATATCACATAACTCATCATTACATATCAATATCTCGACACGAAGTCCATGACAACTTGGGCTGGCCGTCACCTCGAAAGGTCGTACGCCACCTTTGGCTCGTCAGCCGGTTTACGGGCTTTAGTGGGATCGCCATGTCCTCGCTCTCAGTCCGACATCACACACCACACCTCACATATTACATATTACTTTATATAATAATCATAAGTATCATGCTTCGATCACAACTTAACATTTCATTCAACACTCAATCACTATTCTTACACCAAGCATACATGCTCAACAAACCATACTATTGCATAACATGAATCCACAAATCCCAACCCTCAACTTAGAAATAACGTCCAAAACTAAGTTTGGAAGAAAAGCGGTTGAAACGCTACTCCTGGCGGTCTGAAACTCCAAAAATAGCGATTCTAATATGTGTCTGCGTTTTAGAGCAAATTAGGGTTTCTGGATTTTTGACAGACTAAGCATTACTTGACCAGAAAGCAACACCAATAACTCACTGATTTTTTATCGGATCTGGAAAATGAGACTTCATCTGGAATCCTTGCAACAACACCTTTCCAGAGACACCAGAACCGGAATTAGATACTCTTTGAATCGACGGAAAATCTCCTCCAAAAACCGCTCCTCAAAACTGGAAAACAGATAATTCTGAGACAGCTTTTCTTATGCAGAAACAACAACGCAGGGCCAACTTCAAATACAATTTGCAAACTCGTCTTACCTCGGAATTGGGTTCTGAAAGATGCTGTAGAAACCTTGAATCAAGATCTATCCAGACGTATAAAGAGCGTCGTCTAAAACGTTACGGTTCGTTCGGAAATTGCCCCGCAAGGTCACTGCTCGCAACAGTCTTCCTTTGCTCCTCCTTTCCCTGGTCTTCCCGGTCACCGGAGCTCACGACTGACACACTCAACAGCGGCAGCGGCTAGGTCACAAGTGAAAAAGGGCAGAGCTTCGCTGCCAGGATGATCTCAACTCCTTCTCTTTGGCGTCTCCATTATATAGAGGAAGAGTGTGGAGAGAGTTAGGGTTTTTATGAGATATATGGGCCACACGAAATGGGCCATGGGGTTTGGAGGTTTATTTGGGCTAGGGCCATGACAATGATTATTGATAATCATGGCAAAGAAAACGTTTTGTTGTTGTTCCTATCTTGAGAATTATCTAAATAAAGAGGTTTGTGTTACAAGCAACTGAAACCTGCTGGATACATAATTTGTCTCATGATTATTACAAATTGCTTATGAGCTTCATCCTTTAGCTTATCATGCAGGCATCAGATGAAGAGGAATATAACCTGGTTTGTGAGGGGCATCAGATGAAGAGGAATGTGAAAGTTAGTTCAGATAACAGTAATGTGAAAGTTAAGGGAGAGCTCGAAGATCCCTTTCAACCAAATGCTGAAGTTCGGTTTATATGTGGAAGCTCATTAGAGACATAGTCAATGATATAGGTAAGTGTGACACAATATTTGTCTCAACTCTTGGTTGAGTTAGCACTAGCACTCGGTGGTTTATGGCTCACTAAAATTTTGGTGATACCTTCTGGTTTCAATTATGATTTGTAATTTTCAGTGCGAGGATCCAAGATGCCATGTCTGGGAGCATGTCGGCTGTGTCATTATCCCGGAGAAGCCTATGGATGGAAATCCACCGCTTCCTGATTCATTTTACTGTGAAATATGCTCTTACCCGAGCTGACCCGTAAGACGCTTAGGAACTTTCTCTTTTTTTCCTTACTGTGAGATTAATGATTAAGATTATATCTGTCTTACATGGTCTTTAATGTGCATACTAGTGTATTACCCGCGCCCTGCGCGGGATTTTATTTGTAGATAATGATTTTTATAGAAAATAAAGGATATTTACCATCTTAAAATCACTATATATAACAATCGACAATGATTACATGAGATTATACTTAATT